AAGCTGGCAATTATTTCGCCGCAATAAAACTGAAAAAAAATGCTGATGTGACTTGACATTTAAACTTACCCACAGACAATACATTTTTCGCGAGAGTGTAGCACAATTTTATTAAAGTTTTATTTACAATTTGATATGAATATTAAAATTTATTCATGCCCAGTTAACAAGTAATCAGTGAGATAGTATATAAATACTGGGAACGCTGAACAACTTCATTGTAAATAGACAAATGCACCTGTGAACGGCGTGGTGGCCGTAGCCTTGTATATCCAGGTTTTTAATACCGAGTGAAACAAAGACGAGGTGCCAGTCTACACTGGAAATGCCGAATGCTGCATGTCCAGCCTGCATCAACACCTCTAGTGATCTTTCCGCGATCCCAAGCCTTGCGCATAAACATTGTCATGACCTGGTTGAGTGACCTCCTTCCATCAACGTGAAAGGATTACCCACAGAGAAAGAAAGGATTAAAATCCTAAAGATATCCTATCCACATGGAATAAACACTCACAACCAATTTCCTCCAATAGTAAACTATCACCTTTGGTATCCTCAACAATACTCACCATGGTCATTGGGCAAATGTAAAAATCCTAAACCCTATCGAGATTCTGTCTACATGGTCACACCTGGTGATTGTGAAGATCTCAAATTCTATCAACAGCGAGACAACATGTTCATATTCATTTCCAATATGCTCTTAGAGTACGTGATAAATGTTAGAGTCACACACACAACTTTCTCTTACTAATTCTTAGAAAATACCAAACAGAAAGTGGGTTGTGGGAAAATGGGACATATTCCTACGTGACAAAATAAGACATAAGTAGTTGTGACTGTTCTACCATAATTGTACTATCTAAAGCATAAATTTGGCGAACGAAAAACGTTACCAAACGTCACCTGGAATGCCTCACCTGGGCAAAACTTAAAACGAATATGTCCGCAATCCACAAACAATCACTTCATTAATGGCGAACATTTACCAACCCGCGACAATCGTGTCAACTCGAGGTTCCCCTAGCAATAAACTAGCTTCTAAATTCGCTACTGTTCTACTGTCGTGTAGCCACAATGGCAAGACTGGACCCTCGTGGAATGGTTCCTGCCATAAAAGTCCAGCAACCGAACACTAATTAAGACGGGCCGACCTTGTGTTTATGGTCTAGTGTCCGCTCATTAACTCAAGATTCACATCTCACTGTTTTGATTTATCTCACTATTCATTTGATATATTTTCCAACTTCAACTGAAACCCGGTCCCGTGTTACACGCATGGCACACGCGTGTGCAACGAGTGACCCACGCGTGCTCAACGGGATGCACACACGCTGCACCCCCGTTGCACACGCGTGTTCAACGGGTGTTCAACCCGTGTGCAACCCGTTGAGCACCCGTGTCACATGCGTGTGACACGCGTTCTCAATGCGTGTTACACGCGTTCTCAACGCGTGTTGGGGGAATTAACTTTAAGGCAGTAGTGTATGATACAAATGGGATCTACAAATGATGAAAGGAGATGTTATTTTTTATCGAATGATAATTGATGCCATTTATTTTTCTGCACCACGTGTAATGAAGTAAAAAGATAAATAACAATAACACATATTAATCAGGTTTCTGTACACATGGGTGAGTATGGTTTTACGCCGCTTTTAGCAATATTCCAGCAATATCACGGCGGGGGACACCTGAAATGGGCTTCACACATTGTACCCATGTCGGGGATCGAACCCGGGTCTTCGGCGTGACGAGCGAACGCTTTAACCACCAGGCTACCCACCCGCCCCTCTGTACACATGAAGGAAGTGATCTCTGTTGTTGAAGATCGAAATACAAAGACGCAAATCTACCATCAAAATTAATTCCCAAAATTATAATCAAGAAGACGTTCAGCAATTATGATCAATTTACGTTTTTGTTACGGTTCGTGGCATGTCTTTATGTTTTGGCGTCCGACGCCATGTGCTTTAATACACCCCGCCTTATGATTAATTGTATAAAACCTAACGAGGGACGGGGATTAGACTAAATATGAAAATTGATAGACAACTGTCTGACAGACCCGAGATCGACTTGCACCATGTCTCGTGACTTTCATTGATTCAACAACATGCATTGTTTTGCAAGAGATTTATTGTCACTCTCAGAACTCCATGTGCAGCCTGGTCTTCGTGGCAGAAATTCATTGCCCTCCCTGGGGCATACGCACTATGTTATCAAGTTCATATAATTAAATTTTCGTTGTGTTCATTTAAATTCCTACATTTTGATTAGCTGAATTGGTCACGTGTCATGCATTCATTTCCCAATGAATGTAAAACATTAAGCCACGCCCACCGAGGCGCACTGCTTTTATTACTGAAGAATGTCGGGGAATCCCAATATTACAGTCGAGGGAAATCCCTTTCTGCTCACGTGTATCGTCATGCACAGGACATTTAGCGATTGTCATGCATATTCATTGTCCAAACTACCCTTTGAAACCGAAGGCCGAGAATGAATGAAACAGCAAACGTGCAGGCTCGCTCGCCTGTTTTTTTCCCGCTCGCCTAGGTTCAACTTTGATGTCAGGGAAGTAATATTTTAATCGGGCGGTAACTGTAAGTGACCATGTCATTTTAAACAGCCGCCTTCTCCCGGACATATTTCTGCCGGTTCGTTACATTCTGACTGTTGCAGTTCTTTTCGCCTCTTGCATTAATTGATAGGTCCCCAATTTTAGATCAGTCAAAGTACAATGTATGGGAATAGTGAGTTTTTTTAGGAGTATTTCAGTTATCTCACATTGTGTCAACTTACCAGGATGACTTAGGGGTTCAGGTTCGAGACTTGCATTACTTTTGGGAACCCACGAGCACGGGTCTGAGTGACACACCCCGAATCATAATCAGGTTTAATATCGTATTCGAACCACTTTCACCGGACTCTGCACTTCCAATTACAGCATTTTATACCTCCTTATTACCCATGGTTACATTATAAGTTGTCAACCTATCTCGAGGGGTATATGGTGTGATGAACTCTGTATGAGCTTATGTATCCTAGCCGCACAGGATTCATCACACCATATGCTCCGAGGGATCGGTTGAAAACGAACTTATTTTACCGACATTCATTTATATAGACCCGGCATATATGTCCAAAGAATTTGTAAAACTCGTTACACTCGTCATGAGTAAAACACAACACTACCGATACTGAGGTAGGCCGCCATTTTGACAACTTTCAGACGAAGCAAACCGTCGCCTGAAGCATTCGCATAAACATCGGTTCATTTCAGCACAATGATACTGTCACGACATTGATTCTGGTGTTGATGGGGAGGGGATGTTTCACCTACGTAAGATTGTCCACAGTTGCAGTCAATGTTGTAAACTACACCTTTAGGCGCTTGGAGTTTGGTTGTGTTCCTGCCGTTGGCTCTTAGCAGGGAATTGAGGGAGGTGGAGCTGGTGAAGTGGGTGTCAATATTGGCTTGCTGTTTGAGGAGGCGGCTGATGATGTGGGAAACATCCCGCCCCATCAACACCAGAATCAAAGAGCACAAAACCACAACCATCAAATCAGACAGTAAACCAGCCATCTCGGACCATATCAACAATTGTCCTAATTACAACATCACCAATGGGTCCAAATCCACTCCAACAACCTCCATGATTTCACTAAAAGAAAACTAACAGAAGCAGTCCACATTCGCCGCCACAAGCCATCAATCAACAGAGATTGGGGCTATTTCATTCCATCCGCCTACTATGAACTCATTAAGCAATAAACACTTAATATCCTTTTTAATTGGCTTCATGTCTCATTGGCTTTCACCTATGTGTTCTCTGTCCATCATATTGTGACAGTATTATCCTTCTGTTGCTATTACTTACTCATGGTTATCCCTCTCATGTTATCCCACTCATGTATGCAATTATTGTTACTGTTAATCCTCGACCTACTATATATATTCTGTTCTATGTCCCTCATTCAGTCATGCTTGAAAACGGTATAAGGATCTATACCGAAACGTCGCTGTTCATAGCATTAGAGAAGATGTTATCCATATATTGTGTCTACTTTGTGTAAGTTACTAGCTATGGAATGTTACTGATAGTCTCCGTCGATAATAATTGAACCAAATCAGGGAAGAACACCTGTTGGAATAATTATGCAGGTGATGTATTTCTTGTATTTTATTGCATCGTATCAATACCATGTAACATGCTCATGACGCTACGTGATTACCCATCCGGGTTATGATAGGTCTTCAGCAACCCATGCTTGCCGTAAAAGACGACTATGGGCGAGTAACGAGAGAGGTGGTCAGGCTCGCTGACTTGGTTGAAAGCATGTCATCGATCCAAATTGCGTGGATCGATGGTCATGATGTCAATCACTAGATTGTCTGGTCCAGACTCGATTATCTACAGACCCCCGTCATATAGCTGGGATATTGCTGAGTGTGGCGTTAAACTACCAACCAACCAACCAATCCTGTGCATCACTGACTTCCATGGAAAATAATAACTGAACGAAAACAAAGAACGATATTGTAACAGAACCAAATATTGATGTCCATGAAACATGAATTCATCATAACATTGTCAACACGTGTCTTCTCTGTAAACGCCAGTCCACAAGTCGGTTACACAAGCTTGACAACGGCGACCCATTACCGAAACAAGATTGTTGAGAAAGGCATATGGGATGTCATTCCGGATCTGGACAAAGGTCTATCGCAGCTCGACCAACGTCACCGGTTGGTCACTGGTTGTTTGATGGGTGACAGATCTGGTGAAACAGCGAGCCAAGGGCGTGTGGGGATGATCTGTTGTGTCCGAGGAAGTCTGTGACCGCACGTACAACGTGCGGGCGTGCATTACTACTGTAACTCAGTCCCCAAGGGGAATAGTTTGTCTCTTACAAAGTGTACATGTATACGTTTTATTGTAGCTGATCATATTCAATATCAGCTTCCTATTTCAATAAACCCGTTATCTCTGCAGATGCAGTCCGACGAAAAGGATGCGACAGCTACCTTTATTGCCGGGGACCTGGATCACCTGGAACCGGAAAAGAAGGGTCGCGAAGAGGGGCGTGAACAATGGAGCCGAAAGATGGACTTTGTGTTGTCGCTGATCGGTTATGCTGTGGGCGTCGGGAACCTGTGGAGATTTCCTTACTTGTGTCTCAGGAATGGCGGGGGTAGGACGTGTTGTCATACATTGAACAGGGCTTAAATGTGGTTCAAAAGTTGTGCATTCGAGAAATCCTCTGGATCTGTTGATTCCAGAAGTGGAATCAACGAGGCCAGAGTGAGTGAGTGAGTGAGTTGGGTTTAACGCCGCTTTTAACAGTATTCTGTTATATCGCGGCGTGTCAGCTTAATGTGGGAGGAAAGCCTGAAGTGATGCAGGTCGCAGACGTTTACCACTTCGGTGAAACCCACGAGCACGGGTATGGTGCTGACAAACCTAGAAACATAATCGGGGCGAACCGGGATTCGAACCCACAATCATAGGTTTCTGGCGTGCCCAAGGGCGCCTTAGACGACTGGGCCACCCGTGCCCCCCAACGAGGCCAGAGTTCGAGTAATTGCGTCAGTTTTACTTGTATATAGTTCACGTTCAGAATGACAAGTTAGCTCCAATGTCAGAATCAACTGCAAGAGCTATAGCGGACGTCATCACAATGGGTTAAATATATGTGAGTGAGTGAGTATGGTTTTACGCCGCTTTTAGCAATATTCCAGCAACATCACGGCGGGGGACACCAGAAATAGGCTTCACACATTGTACCCATGTCGGGAATCGAACCCGGGTCTTCGGCGTGACGAGCGAACGCTTTAACCACTAGGCTACCCGACCGCCCTAAATATATATGAAGTACATTGTATAGCTATATAAGTGCTACAATCTTGAACGCGACATTAAACCCAATTTCACCTCACCTTACATACATATGCCCTTTGTGGCCGTCTCTTATCATATTATGTAACAACAAACAAACTGTTCACATAAATGGGCGGTACATTCCGGGAAGAAAACACTTCCTTTCCTAGCTTTGCAACGTCGTGTAATTAATTATCCTTGGGAACAGTGCATGTAGGGAGTCTCCACCTCTTCCAATTTCCATCTCGTCTAAGTTTCCGCAGTTCGATATGACGTCCCGTATGATTGCCAGACACCTGATCATGGGTTCGAATCCCGCTTGTCCCTGATTATGTTTCGGGATTTCGAGCATCATACCCGTCGTACTCGTGTGTTTAACCAAATTGGTGTACGTCTGAGAACTGCAATCTTTTCCGACTTGGCGATGTGACTACAATACTGTTGGCGTTAAACCAAACTCATTGTTTTTCTCTCTTTGCAGGTGCATTTCTCATTCCATTCTTCACATTCCTTCTTCTGGCCGGAATTCCATTATTCTACCTGGAGGTATGTCTGGGACAGTTCTCGGGAACAAGCTCGCTCTTCGTTTGGAAATTATGCCCTCTGTTTAAAGGTAGCAGTTTAACCAACGATCTTCCTTTAATTATAGTACAAAGTATGTATTTCATTACTCGCCCGTTGCAGATACCACTGTATAATAACAAATAAGTTGGTATTACACAGTGTTTAATACCAAAGCGCGTGATCATGTACTGCGGGAGCTAGTTTCATCGATACGTATTGAAAACTCCCAACATCCTTGGGCTTATTCAATGACAATGCGTTTAGATATGATAGAGGAGAGAGGAACTTATGCAAACCCGATGACCCCAGCAATCCTGTTGCTAGGCTGACGTCACATGGCATTGTTTCGACAGTGTATCTTGCAACCCAATTTCTAAAAGGACGTCATAGGCCGTTGTATTGTATTGAATTACTACGTGTGAAGTATTATTCTGTTAAATTCAATCATTATGCCGTTGATCGCGTAGATGTCTGGCTATTTGCACACTACAGTGAAACTTAAAAACAAAATATTATGAAGGGTAATTAATAAATAAAAACAAAAAAACTCGCTCATGTGTAATACCAATTCCGCTCGTCGAATACCAGAACTATTCACTTATTTCATAAAATGGTGTTACACGGGAGCTCGTCTAATATTCTATATTTCTCTTCGTATGATGTCCATATATACATGTTCCTGCGGCCCCAAGCCGTATCAGGATCTGCTGATCGAGGATTTTAATCCCAGATTAGCACTGGTTATCATGGATCATACCACTGCCTAAGGTTTTCACTGACGCTGACGTAATGTCAACGCGACGTTAATCTCCATCTCCATCTGGATTCTTTTGAATGACTACATCAATTACGAATCATGATCTGTCGAGGCAGTGGAGCAGCCTGGTGGTTAAATTGCCCTCATTGGTAAAACGTGTGAAGCCGATTTCTGGCATCTTCCCGAGGCAAGAGAGTTCACTGACTTAAAAAGTCCAGTTTCCACCCTTGCCGAACTAGGATGGAATTCCTGGGCTCGATCATAGCGCCACCAGTGGCTATTACGACTTATGTCCCTCCTATGCCTACTCTATGGGCCAATCAGATTCCACCTCTCGTGTCACTTTAATTTGCTTCAAACAAGATGACACTGCCCTGTCAAGACGATCTGATCGGTAATCAAGATCTATATTGTGATTAAACGGGTCTAACATCGCGAATTGCATTAAATCACGTGAGTACCTTGATCCAAAACATCAAAAGATTTGTCCATTGACAACGAGTTGGCGGTGCTCATGCTTTGCAAATCCTGCAATTGACCGAAATTGGCATGGCGGTTTACGAACCGAATTTCGATTTCATTGCGCGATTTTGATTGGACTATGCATAAGCTCGTTATATTAGTCCAGCCACAATCAAACTCCATAATACCTGCCTAGCTCGGCAAGGGTGGAAACTGGACTTTTATAGTCAGTTAACTCTTTTGCCTCGGGGAGATGATTGCTGGTGATATTGCTGGAATATTGTTAAAAGCGCTGACTTTGTCTATGCATGTCATCGTATCCCAATTGCGTAGACCGACGCTCATGATGTCAATCACTGTATTGTTTGGTCCAGACTCGAATATTTACAGACCGCAGTTATATAGCTGAAATATTGCGCGGCGTTACACAACAAACAAACAAAACAAACAAACAAACAAGCAATGGAATGCCCCTCATCCTTGGTGTGTGTGTTGTATTGTAGGTGTGGGATACGGCATGGTAATAGTCTCAGGGATGGCGTGCATCTACTATAATGCTGTCATCACGTGGGTCATATACTATCTGGTCAACTCCTTCCGGTCGGAGCTACCCTGGAGCCGATGCGGTCATTGGTGGAACACGCCGACCTGTATAGATACCCGAATGATGTCACACAACACCACAGATGGACTGACGTTTAATACGTCATTAGTAACGCAGAACTGTTCAACCAACCCTATGTTGAACATGACAGAGGCACAACGGCTTTATGGGTCGAATTACAGTCTCCTCAACAGTTCCATTTTCAACATGACATCGGAGAGGGGTAAAACGGCGGCGGAAGAATTTTGGCAGTAAGTATTATGCGATAGTGTCGGCACTGTTGATTCCAGAAGAGTTATTTCTCAGAACCGTTGAACAATGGTTGATATATAATTTCTCCATATGTTTGAATAGTGACCTATTTTTGCGTCCGTTTAACTTCATAAAATACACGTTCAAAATGGCCATTGACTTCCTGGCTCAGAATGCATTGCAACAACGTCATTATTCATGTTAAAAATTATATTATTATATTATTCACAGCACAGTGGCCAAGTTGTCTGAGGCAACGAACCCACTGAGATTCCGGGTGGGAATATCGGCCCCAAGCAAACTATGCTTGTCGTAAGTGGCGACGAAATGGACCACGCCATCGTTTCCCAAATGCGTGGTTCGATGTCAAGATGAATTAAGGACCGCCGTCATGTTGCTCGAATATATCTGAGTACGATGTTAAACAACAAACAAACAGTCACTGGCAATTATTTAAAGTCTTCCTTGGTGGACTGAGATGTTGTTAAGAGTCATTTCACTGCACACGGACATTCAGGGACAATCAGCATACCATGGGTCCATTTTTATACATTTAAAGGCAAAAATATTTGTCTTCAGTATTTTCTGGAGTTCGTCGCCAAATGCCGCCATTCACTGTGCAGTTGCCAACATTAGCCGATCGTGGGTTCGAATCCCAGACGCCGATGATTACGATCCAAGTGTTGTCACAATCACACCCTTCTTGCGGGTTTAATCCAAGTGGTATACGTCCAGCAGCATCAATTTTCCCATCTTCCCGAGGCAAGCGTGTCCAGGAGCCTATATCAAAGCCTGGTTTCTACCCTTTCCACATCAAGGCCACGTTTCTTGGCTCCACCCTGGCGCCACCTTGCGTAGATCACGAGTTATGTCCCTTGTAATAAAAACGCGATATCCAATCAGATCGCTGTTCTTTTTTCGTATAGCTTCACAAAGATGATGACTACCATAGGCGACGACCTGGTCGATCAAATAACGAAATCATTCGCGATTTCATCCCTGACACAAAACATAGGCAATCGTCTTTCGATGAAAAAGACGTGTCAACAAAGACAGGAAACGGTAAATCATTTTCATAAGATGTACCAGTCGTGGATGTTGATTTTGTGAAACGTTCTTTCAAATGTGCGATAGTCCAATGATATTTTGCATAGAAAAGTGGCAAGGGTGGAAACAAGATTTTGATAAATAGGCAAGTGAACGCTCTTGCCTGGGGAAGATGCCATCTGGCTGTTCGATACTGATAGTTAGGCACCAACAACTTCGACCTTTGTTTGGCCAATGGTTCCTCGCAACTTGTAAACGTCTGCCTTACCAATTCGTCGATACTTTAGATGGCTCGAGTATTGAAGAGTGTTAACAACGTTAGCGTCTTGATTTTACTGTACAGATACAACGTGTTGAGAAAGTCTTCCGGCTTGGAGGACTTAGGGAGTCTCCAGTTGCACTCCGCCCTGTGTCTACTGGCAGCCTGGTCCCTCGTGGTCCTCTGTCTCTTCAGAGGGGTTAAGTCCCTAGGCAAGGTGAGAGGAAAGGCTGTGAGTGTTTGGGTGAATGAGTGAGTGAGTGAGGGTTGCCGAGATGAGTGAATGTTTGGGCGACTGGATGAGTGCGTGGGTTGATGGATTTGGACGGGTGAGTTAGACAGTGCGGGTGGTTAGGAGAGTGGATAGGTGAGTGAGTTGGCGGGTGGATGGATGAGTGAGTGGGTGGGTGGGTTGATGGGTTTGGGCGGTTGGGTGAGTGAATGAGTGCGGTTGAATGGGAGGTTTGATGAGTGAGTGGGTTGTTGGAAGGACTTGGACGGGTGATTGAGTGAGTGAGTGTAACCGGAGTGGTTTAGGTGAATAAATCACTAAACGCAGGTTGATTTGTGGATGCCAGTTGTTAAATACATAAATAAACAGAGGCCCTGTGAAAATAGATACACAGAGTTAAAATATGCACAATACCTACACATATAAATAAATCATTTCATTATAACTTATTAACAAATATTAGAATCTTATATATGATCATATACATTGTTATGATCCATCGTAATTAGCATGATTAGTTTTATCTTACTGTACTCTAAATATTACAGGAGATTTATCATATAATAAATTGACAAACATAGTTTATCAATAATTGGAGAATAATGATAAATGCATTAATACATAACACACAATTTCAGTACATATCACTATAAATACATATAAAATATAAATGTCCTCAAAATCAGACATTTGCTTTACCGGGACACACCTGAACATAAATATATATAACATAATTACAGTGTAACATATTACATCAATATGTTTACATCCTTAGCTATATACAATAACCCTAAAGTAAGACCGCCTCCGTGGTCTTGTGGTAGAGCGTCCGCCCGGAGAGCGGAAGGTCCAGGGTTCGATCCCGGGCCGCGTCATACAAAAAGACGTTAAAAGATTGTACTTGTTGTTACCCTGTCTGGCGCTCGGCATTAAGGGGCTAAAACAAGGACTGGTCGGCTCGGAGTCAGTATACTGGGTCTGAGTGGGGTATTCATGTTAAACTGCGGCATGGTATCTCAGTGAGCTAGCAGCCACACACACACATACACGTGCATGCACGTCGCTATATAAGTGCAATAATCTTGGACGCGACGTTAAACCCAATTTCACCTCACCTCACCTAAAGTATATTTTTCTAGTCACCCACCTCATCATAGAGACATACATTCATACATGTGCACTTAGATGCAGAACTTAAATTTACAGGTAAATAGCTCCAGTCTATCAATAAAAGTACTCATTATGCTTAGTTACACAATAAGTTAAGTAATATCAACATGGCAATGCTAGATTAAATTATCTATTACAAACATACTTACATACTTAAAGTATTTAAGCAAATTTAGCCTAACTACATTTACCTGAATACGATGACTGATCTGATATATATTTATCACGCCTAACAATGTAAGTATTATTAAAAGAAGTTAAGAAACCATACATATGCACCTTAACAAACCCTTCAAAGCACTAAACAAGAACACATAAATATACAATTCAAACAAACTAACCTGTGACAATTGACTCAATTATTTCAGCGATGAACCGACAACTTGTCTCCATACATAGTCAAATACAAGTGTGAATTTAAACTGACCAGTCCCATAATGCACCCTGTCACTGAAAGTAAGGGGCTGCGGCTAGACAATAGAGACCAGAGAAACAATAGAGAAGGCAAGCGCAAGGGTGACTGTTCTAGGTTAGATTGAAGGATAGACTAAAACTTAGGTATAAAAATAAGAGGTGACCTTAAAATACACTTGATGATATGTAAATAATGACATACTACTACATGAGTATGGGTGGTTTGGAGGTGGGTGCGTGGGTGAGTGAGTGGGCGGTTGAATGGATGATCGGGTGGGTTGATGGATTTGTGGCGGTCTGGTGAGTGAGTGGCGAGTGGACGGTGGAAGTGTGTCTCAGATAGTGAATAAGTGAGTGGGGGGATGAGTGGATGGATGGATGGATGGATAAGTAAGTTAGGGACTTTAACGTCAGCTCGGCATTGTTGCAGTCATTTCGAGACGAACACAACTTTTTTGGATTACAACATCATAATGACCCGCTATACACTCATCAACAACAAACTCTACAATACTTTTATTGCGAAAGTTTCCACTATTCTCCATCAAGCTGACACCAAGTGATATGACTGAACTATTGTTCAAAGGGCTTTAAACCAAACTCTCAAAATTCGTTCAGAGATGCGACTTTTAACCCGTTCTTGTATACACTGATTGTGGTTTAAATCCCAGATTCCACTAATTAAGATGCCATTCTCTATGCCGGACCTGCATCTATTCAGACCGACGCGCCATGATGTAACTGATAATATGCAGGTCCAAACATATTCGTATTTCAGGTTGTGTACGTGACTGCCCTCCTGCCGTATGTGTTGCTGACAATCTTCCTTGTCCGGGGCGCTATGTTGCCGGGCGCCATTGACGGCATCAAGTTCTATGTCACGCCCGACTTTTCCAAGTTGAAACATTTTAGTGTAAGTTGCCATTCAGCTTCTCCAGCAAAGAAACTCTGATTCTGAGAACCAGGCTGAAGCCTCCAGAGTGGACTGGCGCTTAGGTTGTTGTTTTTAATGGTGACGTCAGCCGATTGAAACGTTTATCGAATTCCGTGTTGCAAGTATGAACATTGTACAATTGTGCGATGGCTATGAGATCTGGATCACGCCGTGATGTAACTGGAATACTGTTAAAATCGTCGTTAAACCCAACTCACTCACCCATTCTAAGCCTCGCATAGAAGTAGTTAAGTAAGAGTGAAATGTTTTGTTGTGGACATCACAAAATGTCCTTGAGGTTGATCCATAAATACTGGAGTCATTTGATCAAATTGTTTCGTTGAACAAGTTAGCATAACAAGCAGGGGTCTGTGAAAATGGAAAAAACTTGAGGAACGTGCACTGTGAAATACAGTGCCCTTGTACTATTTTGACAGCAAATACTGTGTTTCAGGTGTGGATAGAAGCTTGTATTCAGGTGTTTTATTCGCTGGGTCCTGCTTGGGGAGGTCTCATCACCATGTCCAGTTTCAACAAGTTCGATAACAACTGTTTCAGGTGAACACTGTTGTATGGTTAGAAATTAACGTACATGCAGACATATTACATTGGATATTGGCCATACTTGAAGAAGATTTATATATACAACTTTGGCCAATAGTAAACCTTTTTTATATAAATGTTGAAATGATATGCACTTTAAGTGAATGATTAGAGTTTTACGCCGCCCCTAGCAATGTTTCATTCACATCACGACCAGAAGACACCGGAAATGGGCTTCACACATTGTACCTATGTGGGGAATCGAACTCTTAAAACTGTTAGTACTGATGTAAAAGTAACAATATATGAAGTAAAATCTATGCGCCTCTAGTGAGTGCTATTATATATGTTCTTCTGTCCTCAGCAAGTGCTGATGTATACATACATACATACATATATATATATATGTATATAATTTTATATATATATATATATATATATATATATATATATATATATATATATATATATACGGGTGGCCCAGTCGTCTAAGGCGCCGCAATTCGCTGGGCACGCCACGCCAGAAACCTATACGAATCCCGGTTCTCCCCGATTATGTTTCTAGGTTTGTCAGCACCATACCCGTGTTCGTGGGTTTCACCGAAGTGGTAAACGTCTAAGGCCTGTATCACTTCGGGCTTTCCTCCCACATTAAGCTGACACGCCGTAATGTGACTTGAATACTGTTAAAAGCGGCGTTAAACACAACTCACTCACTCACTAGTAAGTATTGATATATAATATAACCTTCTGTACACAGGGATGCCGTAATTGCGACCCTGGCGGACGGTATGACTAGTTTTTATGGCGGATTTGTCATCTTCGCAGTCGTCGGATATATGGCAAAAGAATCAAATCTACCTATCACAGAGGTTGCAACCCAAGGTCAGTGTCTTGCAGCGATTTTGTGGAGACTCATGCAGTTCACTCTCGGGATGATTGACACTTACTTATGTACAGAATCAGGTCCTTTTGCATTTTACTACCATACAATCCTGAAGTCACGTAATCTGTATCGTCTATGTCTGTATATACAGGGAAAGCGTACGAGGGGTGTTCATTAAAGATTTCCCCTGACCCACTTCCGATGGACCTAGTGGAATGAAACTTGGCATAGGTATTAGTCTTTCTCCACATATGAACCACCAAGAGTTACACACTTCTCCCATCGTTTTATGCAACTATGGAGACCTCGCTTGTAAAAACCCTGATTTTGCGTCTCAAACCAGGACTTGACTTCAGAAATCAGTGTTTCATCATCTGTGAAACGTTTTCCCTTAAAAAATGACTTCATTGTTGGAAAGAGGTGGAAGTCAGATGGTGCAAGGTCAGGAGAGTAAGGAGGATGTGGAAGGATTTCATAGCCACAGGACCGCGCTTCTGCCTGGGCAACATGAGAGTTGTGAACTGGAGCATTGTCTTGCAGGAGACGGACACCCTTGGTCAGCATGCCACGCCTCTTAAGCTTGATAGCGTCCCGCAATTTCCGCAGCAGTGAAGCATAATAAGCTCTTGTAATTGTGGTACCCTTTGCCAAGAAATCCATCATCACTACTCCGTGCTGGTCCGAAAACACCGTGAGCATGACCTTGCCTGCAGAGGGATGGACACGTGCCTTCTTTGGGGGGGGGGGGGGGGGACTCCACATGCTTCCATTGCATTGACTGAACTTTAGTCTCAGGATCATAGTGATGAACCCATGTTTCATCCTGTGTGATAAGTCTGTCAAAAAAGTTTGCCTGGTTTTTTTGGCACATGTCCAAAAGATCCTTTGAGCAATTGACTCTTTCCTGCTTTTGGAAAGGTGTGAGCAACCTGGGAATCCATCGTGCAGACACCTTATGCATGTTCAAATTGTCATGGATGATTTTTTCCACAGACCCTACACTGATCTTGACATCTTGTGCTAACTGGTGAACAGTTATACGTCGGTCTGCCAAATGGCAGTCTCCGCTTGAAGGATAGTGTCCTCATCAATGGCTGAATGGGGGCGACCAGGAATGGCAGCTGTTTCCACAGATGTCCGACCACACTTGAACTGGCGATGCCAGTGTTTAACAACGTCATATGATGGGGCATCTTCCCCATAAGTTGCTTTCATTTCATCGAAAGTTTCTTTTGGTGTGCGACCTTTCAAATATAAATACCTAATCACTGCTTGGTATTCTACTGGCTCCATTGTCACACCCTACTCGATCATAACACCTGTAAAAGTGGTAAGATTAATAGTTCGGTGCTGCAAATTCAGACATAACCCATAGATACATGTATCATTACACATGAGAAATCTCAACCAAATATGATAACCCTAAGTGGTTTAGGGGAAATCTTTAATGAACACCCCTCGTAGATCTGCAAAATGATATGCAATAAAACCTTGTTCTTCCGGTGTTTCTTAAAATGTACTGCAATGGTCAACACAAAATAAATGTCCTTTTATTCCAGGTCCAGGACTTGCCTTGGTAGCCTACCCAGAAGCCATAACACGACTTCCGTTTCCGCAAATATGGGCAGTGTTGTTTTTCTTTATGCTGCTCCTCCTCGGGCTAGACAGTCAGGTCAGACACATACGTACTCATATATACCCGTGTCATTTCTATTACCCGTAGTGACCCGCGAAGATCCGGGGTAGAATAGGTCTTCAGCAACCCATATTTCCCGTAAAAGCCGACTATGCTTGTCGTAAGATTTGGTTGGCTGGTTGGTTTGCTGTTTAACGCCGCACTCAGCAATATTCCAGCTATATGACGGCGGTCATTGGGTCACGCAATTGGGATCGATGACATGCATCAACCAAGTCAGCGAGCCTGACCACCCGATCCCGTTAGTCGCCTTTTACGAATGTCGTAAGAGGCGACTAACGGGGTCGGATGATCCGGCTATCTGACGTGGTTGATGCGTGTCATCGTATCCAAATTGCGTGGATCGATACTCATGATGTCAATCACTGGATTGTCTAGTCCAGACTCGATTATTTACAGACCGCCACCATGAAGCTTGAATATTGCTGAGTGCCGCGTTAAACAACAAACAAACAATAGCTATTTCACATATATACAGCTTAATAATGATCAGTGTAAAATTTAATCATGTTTTGTGATATAAAACGGTTCTTTTTCAGTTTGGGATGTTCGAGACACTTGTTAGTGGCATACTGGACGCTTTTCCCAACAAACTGAGGAAGAGGAGGCTACTAGTGACTTCATCCCTGGCAGCAGTAAGCTACCTAGTAGCCCTTCCGATTGCTACTAATGTAAGTGCATTTTATTATTTATGCATGATAGTTCAAGGTTACAGAAACGACAGACGTTTTTTGCTTCGGTCGAGTAGCCTTGTGGTTAAAGCGTTCGCTCGTCACGCCGAAGACCCGGGTTCGATTCCCGACATGGGTACAATGTGTGAAGCCCATTTCTGGTGTCCCCCGCCGTTATATTGCAGGAATATTGCTAAAAGCGGCGTAAAACAATACTCACTCACTCACTCTTTGATGTCACCGATTGCCATCTCTGAAGCTCTGGATAATGATATGGATACCATGTGACAGCAAGGCCGTGTTTTGTTTCAGGGTGGGATATATGTCTTCCAACTGTTAGACTGGTTCGTTGCAGCTTTCTGTGTGCTTCTGACATCATTCCTGGAGTGTCTCATCATTGGGTGGATATATGGTATGTACTAGTGTTCCGTGGAGGCGTTAAATAGTGGCCCCTTTAAGATCCGGGTTAGAATAGGTCTTCAGCAACCCATGCTTGCCGTAAAAGGCGTTTATGATTGTCGTAAGAGGCGACTAACGAGATCGGGTGGTCAGGCTCGCTGACCTGGTTGATGCATGCCATCGTATCCCAATTGCGTGGATCGATGCTCATGATGTTAATCACTGGATTGACTGGTCCAGACTCTAGTTTTTACCGACCGCCGTCATATAGCTGGAATATTACTGAGCGCGGCGTTAAATACGTTTCAAATGCTTTTAGATTAAATCTTAATTCGAAACTTTAAATTACATTTCTACCTTGCAAGGTTTGGACAACATATTTCTTAAACGTTTCTTCATACTAAAAGCAGCAGAATATCTGCAATTGTACACAGCAGACATGATTCAAAATTAATGAATCGTTTTTTAGTTTCAACAAAATTAGTAATATGGCTATCTGGATTCCTGGTCATGAGTTTTTGCTAAACCGCACTGACGCAACTAAGCAAATATGTATTTGCTGTGGGCAAATACCCAGCTTTTATACAGTTTTGTAGATATGAAAAATTCTAAGCTAATATGAAACATTCTAAGCTAGTTAATTGTGGATACACTAGGCGCAAATAGATAAAATAAAATGAATAAATATACTACCCGTTTAAAGCATTATGAAGCTGAGAACTGAGGCACAAAGTATTACTCGTATTCACACACGGAGGCAAAGTACAGTAGATATATAAATGAATGAAACTATCAACTTTTCAAACATTTCCTGTGTAGTTTCTGTGGAGACTTTTCGCATTGTAGTTGAAGTAACAAAAGAAGCAGTGCCAACATGAGATATTATTTATACTCAATGTTTTATTTAATTTCAACATATCCATATAAAAAATGAGATAAATGATAAGTCCATGGATAATGCTTTGTTGCACGTTCATTGTTTTATTTTCATTTTTATATTTTACTGTAACAGGGTAATAAAAGGTTTTGGAAATGGGATTCCTCTAGACTAGTACTAAAATAACAAAATGTTGTTTATTATAATTAAAGGAAGAGTGTTTTTTTATGGAAAACGTTGACTACTAATTTCTTCTCCTATTTTCCAATTTAATTCATTTCCAGTTTTTTAGCTCTTCAATACTGTTTAAAAAAACGTAAACATGATCACAAGGTAATGAGTCTGTTGAATGTTATACCCTGTGAGATCTGTCACATCTGCTACTAATTTAGTGCTTTCTCCATGTTCAGTCAATACAATAAATTAATGTTCAATTATTAAGCTATTGATGGGTGTGGGTTAGTCCTGCACCATGACTGTGGAATATATTTATTTTATGAAAAAATAATAATCTAGAAATGCATACAAAAGCAAGTCTAGCCAGCTCAAGCTAGCTCTATTCCACACTCTGAAATCAGCATAGGGGATTTTTTTTATTTTTAGAGTCAAGAAGGATATTGTGTAATATAAGATTTCAGAGACTAAATGTTAGTCTAGGTGTGGGTCATTGTCCCTCATTTGGTAGGGAACCATCTGTGTGGGGACTCTATGATACATTATGCATGACAAAGGACTTCAATTAAAACATCTTTGGTTCATTTCATGGAGTAACAGACAGGCAACAACAACACTGACGTCTCTGCGTGGGATCGTATCGGCATTAACGTCATGTAAGAAGGGGGTTTCAGCCACATGTGTTTGGGTAAAATTGGTCGTCGGTTTATAGCACTGAAAAAGAGGTCTTAAATATTAATAGAAATCCGCATAAAAAAATCCAAATATCATTCTGTCCCATCGATTATTCGAAATATCTAAATTAACAACCAAATCGTTGATTAAATAATTACACCCAAAAAGAGACCTCCAAATGAAAACCACTGATTGCTATATACCAGACGCCATCCTCCGAGCGCATACATTACAGGCAGGGACAGAGGGGGTATACCATTAATTACACCTTAAAGCAAAACACTGATGACCAGGGGGATGACGACAACCACAAGTGATTGGGTTATGCTATGGGATTATGAGGACATAAAGCTATGACATATGTACTTTTTGCATTATGTTTAATTAGGATCACTGAAAAAGAAGGGTAATTTATGTTTTTAGCACATGAAAACATATTTGCTTTGTTCGTCACATTTGCTTTGAAACTTGTGTTTTTTATTTTGTGTCAACAGAACTTGACACGATGCCCTTACCACAGGATGTCATTGTTACGGCTTCGTCATGACACGTTAAACGTCATGAGTTTGTTTAAACAACTATATCACAACTGAAGTCTGAATACATAATGTGCAACAAATATTTGTATAATATGACATAACATAATATAATATATTTTCCCTAAATGTAAACAGTTTTGGCAGTTATTATAGATTGAGTATTCTCTGGCGTTGACGTTTATAATTTTTTACAAGACACGGCATGTTATCTAAATCAGTCCATCCTCTTGACAAACAATCTCTTTCAGGGTTTTATTATCACACAGTTTTTCAAATTTATCAACTGAAACTTTAAAATCAAGGACTGAAGTCTGTGATTCATTGTAAATTTAGATTTCTCTGGACAGTTACTTTGACGACCAATTATTCCGTCCCTTTGGCACGCCAGAAACCTATGATTGTGGGTTCGAATCCCGGTTCGCCCCGATTATGTTTCTAGTTTTGTTAGCACCATACCCGTTCTCGTGGGTTTCACCGAAGTGGTAAACGTCTGAGATCTGCATCACTTCGGGCTTTCCTCCCACATTAAGCTGACACGCCGCGTTATAACTGGAAATCTGTTAAAAGCGGCGTTTAACCCAACTCACACTCAATTATTCCGACACGTTGCATTGTATAGTGAATATGATCAAGTTTTACATCGCATGAGCAATCTATCAGTTTATAGCGACGACATTATATAGTATGTGTTAGTATTGTTACAAATGAGCTTTAATATGGTTAAATAGTGTATGTTATATTGTACGACATAGGTTTCTACAGGTTATTATCACATCTATGTAATATCTTCTTATGTGAGGTGAAATGGGGTTTAACGTCGCGACAAAGATTATTCGCTTATATACATGTAGCGACGTGCATGCACGTGTGTGTGTGTGTGTGTGTGTGTGTGTGTGTGTGTGTGTGTTCGTGTGTTCGTGTGTGTGTGTGTGTGTGTGTGTGTGTGTGTGTGTGTGTGCTTGTACTAGTCTGGACTGATGCCGATTTATAGTGCCAGCCCACTGAGATACCTTGCCGCAGTTTAACATGAATACCCCACTTAGACACAGTACACTGACTCCGAGCCGACCAGTCCTTGTTATAGCCCCTTAATGCCGAACGCCAGGCAGGGAATCAACAAGTACCATATTTTTAAAGTCTTTTGGAATGACGCGGCCGGGGATCGAACACCCCCCCCCCCCCCGCCCGGGCGGACGCTCTACCACTAGACCACGGAGGCGGTCTGTTTTTAGAGAGTAATATGTTGGATTAAATGTTTGGTATAACAACACATATTTTCATCTCTATGGTTGGACCAAATAATTTTTAGTCAAATATTTTAAGTATTTTAATGGGCAGAATTTGGTAGAGTGTTCAGGGTAATATTTGTCATGGTGAACTCTTTACGTCATTTTATCATAGACATTTTGTCAACGTTCATGCGCATACTGAACCTATGCTGCCAAGTAGATCTATTTTTATGAAAGAAGATGTATGGCTGATGAACAAGCTAGAGGAAGGCCAACATGTGAATTTATCATATTATGGAATATTTATTGTGAAATGACAACTCTGTCCCCAAAAGGGTTTACACGTGTGATCAGTTTCACATATTCCCTTTTGAAATGTGTATGTCGTTGGTTGCAGGGGTTGAGAGATTTGGCAGAGACATCGAGATGATGCTAGGGAGACCTCCATCATTACCCATGAAGCTGTGTTGGTGTTTTGTTACACCCGCACTGATGTTGGTAAGTGACATTTTCATAAGGGACCGTGGCTGGGATTACATATTGCTATTTATCTTTTTATTTCGACCAACGTCAATATGGTTAGGGACAAAAGTATGTGAACAAATCCTCACATGCAGCAATAATTGAAGTACTCAGCATGCTTGTCTACCATTGGTGTAACGGAATCCTCCCTAACACAAAAGCAGATGTACGTTGGGGTAATGGGTAACCTGGTTGTTAAAGCCTTTGCTCTCCGCGCAGAAGACCTGGGTTCGATTCCCCACATGGGTACAATGTGTGAAGGCCGTTTCTGGTGTCTCCTACAGTAATGATAATGAATATTACAAAAAGGCGTTAAACAATACTCATTCACTCACCAATATATGTACATGTATGTGGTATATTCTTCTTTGACAGGTTGCGCTCGTCTTCACAATATACACCTACAAGATGCCTACCTACGATGGCTACATCTACCCAGTATACGCCAGGGGGATTGGATTCGTCATCTCAGTACTTCCGGTCATTCCCATCCCGGTATTCATGGTCTGGGAGCTGGCCAAGGCTGAGGGGTCACTTTTAGAGGTACAATAATAAACATAAGTATGATTTTATTCTTCGAAATAGGTGGACAAAATGTCATTACAAGTCCAGGACAGTTATAAAGTGACACTTTGTCTTAGTTGGGTGAGGGGAATTCAACTGCCGGAACCCATAAGCCACAATAGTGTTGGTTTTTTTCATATTTTCATATTTCGTATATTTCTATGTACCCAGTATCCTTTGTGGATATGGGACATAAAACGATACAACTACAAAAACATTAACTCTCTATGGAATGTATGTAGTCTGTGACGACAACAAACCGTTTAAAGGATTTTTAAAAAAGGACAAAGTTTCCCTGACATGTAAGTTATAGATGAACATTAAACTCATTATACACTTGCACTTCAAGCAAGTATGTTCCCTATTGACAATATTATGACAAATGACAAAATATTTTGAGCTTGGCATCCTTTTGATTTGATGTTGATCAACCTGAGCTTAATGGCAGAAGACATCCGTAAACGATTACACTAATTTATTTGCAAAAGTGTGGCTTATCGTGAATTTCCCCTTTTTTCGAGCAATATACCATCAGCTTGAGCTTATTCCATCTCCATCTCTCAACTACTTAGGCACACTGAAGCATTTTATTATATTGTCACGGAAAGACACATGTTACTTAAAAAATGCCTTAACAAGTATGCCTACTTCAACTTATGTTGTCCGTGCTTAACGTTGTGGTGGGATAGCAAAGTGGATAAAGCATTATCACGCCAATGACCTGAGTTCAGTTCCCCACATTAGCAAACTGTGTGAAGCATACTCCCGACGTCCACCAGACCTCATTTGGTTGAAATTGCTAAATTACTTTATGCTGTTTTTATTTATTTGTTTTCGGGATGATAAAGTGTCATCTGATCTTAAAACGGTGTAAAACCCATCCTTGGTCAAGTTTATCGAATCTCCATTCTGAAAGAAAAAATACCCTTGACGTATTCCGCACCGTAGCCTTCCTCAGGTAGTGGCATTACCATCTCATGTTTTCTTACCAGTAACCTCCCACATCATGTCTCTTGCTCAAGGGTGTAATTTCAGAGAAGGGCTGTTTTGTAGCATCGAGTATTTCGAATACTCCAAACGAAGCCATGTTTGAGAATATGTTCAAGGCATCTATCTTTACAGAATGGGGGGCACGGGTGGCCCAGTCGTCTTAGGCGCCGCGATTCGCTGTGCAGAGTTGCATCCCTTGGGCACGCCAGAAACCTATGATTGTGGGTTCGAATCCCGGTTCGCCCCGATTATGTTTCTAGGTTTGTCAGCACCATACCCGTGCTCGTGGGTTTCACCGAAGTGGTAAACGTCTGAGACCTGCATCACTTCGGGCTTTCCTCCCACATTAAGCTGACACGCCGTGATATAACTGGAATACTGTTAAAAGCGGCGTTAAACCCAACTCACTCACCCACTCTTTACAGAATGGAGATAAAATACCCTGGACAGTCTAGGATGCGTAAACCATTCTTATTCACTCTCTGTGTCCTTTCAGCGGCTGAAGCATACCCTCCGTCCAGCTGCTGACTGGGGCCCAGCGAGGAAGGAGCATAGTGACGAATATCGCAGAACAGCAGGGGAATATAACGCAATGCCCCTCGCCACCTGGGTAGCCAATAAGTTCTCGAGGAGTGTTTGATGTTGTGACAGGTAGCGTGCAAGGTTGTGTGCTTCAGCCGTATGTCATATGCTTAGAACCATGACAATCCAATTAAAATCAGACCTTTTAATCCGATACGATTACCCTCTGCATGAAGATCTGAGGTTACATTCATTGGAGGTCTAATCATTCAACCACTTAGCGTCGTGCCTTCTAAATTATCATTAGTATTGACACGAGCATATCTGATTTTGTACCTCCATAACGAATAAAATAGAGGACAACCGAATAAAATAATCCCGCGCTTCTATATTGCTGTGGTAATATATACATCCTGTTGTCTGTTAGCGCACTATCATCTACACCCGAAATGGTTGCTCGGAGGATATATTTATAAGATGCAAATATTAAAGCCGAATTGGTTTTGAAAGCCGACATCTGATTCGCTCGAGACCTGACGCGTCCTTTATTTTGATTGGTCGGTGAAAGTTCGCTTAGGGTTCACTGGACGCGACCTTCCATCAAGGTATCGTATCGGAGTAAAATATCTTATTGTAGTAAGACTGATAGTCGTGCCATTGTGTACATTAAAGTTATTTGTTTTTCATTCGTTGAGTTCTGTTGCACATGTTGTCGGGGTTTTTCATTTATTGTAAACGGTTTGCAATTCACCGAATATACATGATGTGTAGTTCCTTGCTGAGCACTTGGAGATCTTCATGGAGAATGGATATTTTGTTTTAGATCCACGCAGTATTTACGACATTACGTTCTATTTACATGTATTATCAAGGATCGTTACGATCACAATGTTAGATATGTGGCATCGTGATTTCGTTGTTCTGTGTTAGGTGAATTGATGCTACTGTTTGATGATCGGCGTATGAGTGTGCCCGTGCCTGGGTGCCTGTGGTGGGAATTTGGGGTGTGTGTGTGTGTGTGTGGGGGGGGGGGGGGGGGGGGGGGGGGGATTTGTTTTAAACAAATGATGCTTTGTTTCACAAACCTCTGGCGAATATGTTTTTATTCAGTTCACCTGACTTTACGTCATTAGTCTTTGTTGTATGAAAGAAACAAAATAAAATGAATACCAAACCTCCGAAGATAATATACATACGTTGCGGAGATTATTATCAAAATGGTATTGTTCTATTCGTAAATGTTTATCTTATTCAATTCGAACAGTGAGTTGGGCCTCTTGAGTTGTTGGGGCATGGGTTAGCCTAGTGGTTAAAGCGTTCGCTCGTCACGCCGAAGGCCCGGGTTCCATTCCCCTCATGGGTGCAATGTGTGAAGCTGGAATATAAAAGCGGCGTAAACCCATACTCACTCACTCACTCTCTCCAATGTTATTCTCCACCAGGCTGTATGCATGATACGTCCATGTTGACTTCGGGTGGCACATCCCGTTACTCCGTGTAATCCCGTTACTCAGGAATCTGTGGATCCGGAAAGTTCTCCTGCTGATTGTGTTCTTGAGAGTCTTGATAATGAACAAGTATATGAACATGTCAAGAATGTACCCATGATTCCAAAGGCAGTTTACATATCACGCATAACGGAACCGTGTGGATTTCACTGTACACAAATGGGAATATTTATGAATATGTGTACCGTACCCTCCTCACAAGAATTACCCTGAACACTTCAATATATTTAGCTATTTCTAAAGCCCATTGTGTTGGTAAAGGGTGCATGCGTTCTATAGTCGGTCTTTTTTTAAGCTGCTGTAGGTCTCCTACAAATAATATTGTTGCTAAGAATAATACTTGAAGACATAATATGTCTGAGAAATCGGATTGGCAAAATCAAAATGTGGGAATTTTGCCAGGAGTGCTGATACCGTTCAACAATGGTCAAATAGTAAATTCCCTTCCAGTGACTTTCCCACCTGAACTAGAAGTGAGAGAAACCAGTGAAACTGCCTCTCCTGTCTCATATGCATATGTTTCCATAAATTAGATTTACAAGAAACTATCCACAAGACTGTGTGACCGGGACAGAATTTGATGACGTCAACTTTCCAATGGTCAATTTTCGTAAACCAAACTATGTTTGTCGTAAGAGGCGACTAACTGGATCGGGTGGTCAGTCTCGCTGACTTGGTTGATACATGTCATCGATCCCAATTCCGTGGATCGATGCTCATGATGTTAATCACTGGATTGTCTGGTCCAGACTCGATTATTCACAGACCGCCGTCATTTAGCTGGAATATTGCTGAGTGCGTCGTTAAACAACAAACAAAACAACGTAAACCAAGGGACTAACGTCTTATCTCTGAGTAACCTTTCAGTAATTGTGCTGAGTTGTTATAGCGTGTCAGAAAGTGTTATTCGTCATGATCAGATCGTTGTGTGAACTTAATTCGTACATCTTTAAAATAAATCTAATAACGTACAGTAATTGTTGGGTATAATTTGGAAATATATCTGGAATTGTATAACTGTGATTATTAATATATATTTCTGTAAACGCGAATGGTGTGGTGTTCTGGAAATTCATAGTATTCTTTCATGAAGTCGTTTGTATATCATCTGATGTTGATGTAATAAAGCAAATGTTGTTATGCCAAATCTAAGTCTGATGTGAACAGTGACAATATATACTCCGCAAAAAAAGTAAAAGATCACCGGATTTGTTCATATTACTATAGTTAATTTGTAATGCAGATTAACTATAGTAATACGAAAGAATCGGGTGTCTTTTTAACTTCTTTTGAGTAGTTTATATCATCCGGAAGTATGGATGACCAGGTGGTCCAAGGCGTTGTAATTCACTAATCTACAAAATTACGCCCCTCCGTTAAATCGTGGTATCGTTTAAGACGACGAAGCTTCATGATCCATGCAATCCATTCTGTATCCCTTGTGATGAAATGAAAACCACGGTCAAGCATGTCCTGTTTGACTGTATTGCTTTTTCCATCACAAGGGAATAATACTTCAGGGTGTCATCTATAAAAGATATTTTTAATAGAAGTTCACATTTAATTCTTGGATTTTTAAAAGAAATAGAATTGATTAATAACTATAATACATTTTAATGTTCAAAGTGGTTTCTCAACACTTATATATATATAATTATTGACTCAGATTGTTAGCGGCCGTGCCCTCGATGGGGGTTGAAGTAGCGTCAAATTATTGTCTCCCAAAGAGTGTATCAGAAGTCTATGTCATTCAAAGCATATCTGTATCTACCATTATCTTATACGTAGAATATGTGTCGAGTTAATGTTTGGCTAAAATTGCATACAATCGCCAGCGACTGAAGGGATGGGGTTAATCCTACTTGAGAACCGCGCAAGCTGTAGAAGTATCGTAAGCCCCTACGGTCCACAGTATGGTGGTCAAACTTTGGCTGCTGGCGATCTGTGGCCCGTTCTTATAATGCATTGCTATGTACAGTGATGTAATTTTATGGTTCAATGCTAGTTTTAGATATCAATCTGTGATAAGTCTAGTTAGTTTACTATCCGTTGTTGACAGGCTTTGAAGTTTAAAATTAATGTATTTATTTACAGCCTTTGAAAGTCACGATAGGACTGAAATACTGCCAATGTGACTTTAGAATTTAACTCACTCACTCATGATCCATGTTGAATGAATCGTTATTTTGTATACTATAAACACCCTTATTATCTGAAACGGTTAATTTGAAAACATACTTACAGCGTTCATTCACAGTAAAACAAAGTTCTTAGTTGGGTAATATGTACACCAGACCAAAGCTTCCTGTGATCATATTCTTATTTCGTGTATTATTTTTAGGACATAACCTCTGTCTTTTTCTTGAAGGGTACTGGTGCTTATTATACATGGGCTAAATGAAGTTCTTATGCTTTTTAATTGGCCTTTTAAAAGTGTTTTTTTTTCTGATTAATTTCAAATTAAATACCGAGAAAGTTTTGTGTCCACATTATATGAACAAATTTCGTGTTATTTGAATCGCCGATGAAAAGTTGACTTCAATATCCACAAATAGGAATCACATTGGTCTTTTGGATATGTGTCCATAATTAACTGAAATATGAATAACCGTATTCATGTTAAGTACTCAGTAAACTCATAGTGTGTGAGTGAGTGAGTATGGTTTTACGCCGCTTTTAGCAATATTCGAGCAATATCACGGCGGGGGACACCAGAAATGGGCACATTGTACCCATGTCGGGATTCGAACCCGGGTAGTAGGCGTGACGAGCGAACGCTTTAACCACTAGGCTACCCGACCGCCCCAGTAAACTCATAAACCAAAAACAAAATAGAATTCGAAAATAACACGTTGCTCCAAATACGAGGGCTGGTCAAAAAGTTCTAAGCCTAACAAACAAAACAAACAATTGTGAAAGTGTTTTTAAAACTATTTTTCAACCTTATCTCCCTGCTCTTCGATACACTTCTCATATGGATAGGGAAGTTTTTCAATTGACCCGTGAAGATCCGGGGTAGAATAGGTCTTCAGCAATACATGCTTCCCGTAAAATGCGACTATGCTTGTCGTAAGAGGCGACCAACGGGATCGGGTGGTCAGGTTCGCTGATTGGTTGATGCATGTCATCGATCCAAATGGCGTGGATCGATACTCATGATATCAATCGCTGGATTGTCTAGTCAAGACTCGATTATTTACAGATCGCCGTCATATAGCTGGAATATTGCTGAGTGCGGCGTTAAACAATAAACCAACCAACCAACTAACCAACCAATTCCACTCAGGAAGAGGTTTTCTGAAGCCACCCTGAAATAAGCATCTGAAATTCACGGCAGCTTTGAGGGCACCGTTGTCGTCATAGCGCTTTCCACTAAGGTGTTCTTTCAGTTTAGGAAACAGGTGGAAATCACTTGTTGCCAGGTCTAGCGAGTATGGTGGGTGAGAAAGCTCTCCCAACCCTTTGCAAGTCGAGAGATGTGGGAAGAGGCATTGTCATGAAATGGTAGAACTCCAGCAGGCAGCATTCCTCGCCGCTTTTCTTTGATAGAATCTCTCAGGCGACACTTTATACTGACTCCGAGCCGACCAGTGCTTGTTTTGACCTCCCGTCATGCCGAGCACCAGGGAGGGTAACAATAAGTACCATATGTAACGTCTTGAAGCGTATGACGCGGAGGATCGACCTTCCGCTCCTTGTCATCACGTTTTTGTTTGTTTGTTGTTTAATGCCGCACTCAGCAATATTCCAGCTATATGACGGAGGTCTGTAAATAATCAAGTCTGGACCAGACAATCCAGTGATTGACATCATGAGCATCGATCTACGCAATTGGGATATGATGGCATGCAACAACCAATTCCATGACATGCATCACCCAAGTCCGCGAGCCTGACCACCCGATCCCGTTTATCGCCTCTCACGACAAGCATAGTCACCTGTTACGGCAAACACGGGTTTTACTGAAGACCCATTTTAACACGGATCTACACGAGCCCCGTCATCAAGTAAAGTCACCGATATGCATATATCGCATAACGAAGCAAACCCCAATCATGCACTGTATGTAGGAACATAGAACGCTTTTGAATAATGAAGACATTTAGTACACACCCAAGAAGGGACACTGTCGCGTTGTCGCATTGTCGCCCTTAAATCAACAAACAAAAAGTGTCAAA